TTACAAGGATGTCTGAATGAACGAATAATTACGAAAAATGTTTTTGTTACATTGATGAAATGATGAAAATATGACAATTTTTGATATTATGATTTATTTGCCAGTATCTTCTTTATCGTGAAAACTTAAATCCTCGATAAACAAATCATATGAGTAAAAATGGAGCAAATTCCATACGCAAATAATAATATTTCGTTTTAAAATAAAAATTGATATAATTAAAGCATATTCTGCATACACGAATAACTTTTTGCTTTGTATTCCTTTTAATAATGATACGTTATTATATACGTATTGCATCTCGTACACACGCAAATATTATAAGATACATATAAGTACATATTATAAAATATAAATACGTGATACTTTGTTTTTACTATTTAAGTAATTCAACTTTAAACAAACACATTAACATCTTTTTGCTTCGACTTTTTACAATATTTGTTTCAATAGAAGTGTGAAAGGCAATCTCTCTCTCTCTCTCTCTCTCTCTCTCTCTCTTTCTCTCTGTTGAATCTCTTCTTTTCACTCCCATTAGTCTAACTATTCATTATTAAAGAGCGAATAAAAGCACTGTTGTCGCATTAATCTCCACATACATCACATGAGGAAATCGGCTTCTGCCAAATTGATTAAATTTTTAATATGTGGTTGTTTTTATGATTCTGATCAAGTCTCAATGCGTGACCTCAGAAAAGCTCAATTTTTACGATTACGAAGCACTAAATTGTTCAAAATCGTGTATTTTACAGAAATTTTATTTTCGTATTTTTTTAGATTTTTTTCTACAACTTTTTTCTGGCCTTAACAAAGCAAAACCTAAAGAAGCTTAGTCTAAAAAAGATAAATTAATAGCTTTATTTAATCCGTACTATAATAAGTATAATAATAATAATAATTATAGATATTAATTATTATTAAATTCCTATTATATTAAATATCAATCATTAATTAATAATAAAAATTATGCTTTTCTGAGATCATTGAGACTTTTAATTAGTATAAAAACAATCACGTATAAAGAATTTCAATTTGACAGAAGCCAATTTCTGTCAAAGAAGTGTGCAGAGTTCTTTAAAAGTATTTTCTGATGTTGATGCTCGACGCTCATTTTTAGCATTAAAACAGGCCACAATGTGATAGAAATTAACACTTGATATTCATCAGCTTTCACTTATTTTATAGACGAATCGGAAATTCAACCTGGGGATGAAGAAGAAGAAAAAAAAGATTTATTTTATCGTTAAAAATGAACATCGAGCGTCAGCATTAAATTGTACCTTAAGCTTGCTTTAGCAACAACAAGCTCTTCGATTTCTTCGCAGGTTCTTTACGACGAGGGGTTTATCCCAGCGACAGCATCGTCGTTGTCGCTGCTGCCGCCACCGCCGTCGTCGGAGTGCCGCCTCCACTACCACCACCACCACCTCCACCAGCACCACCAGCACCACCAGCACCACCACCACCATCGCCACCACCGCTGCCGCCGTCGCCGCGCTCCGGGTATCGAACGTGAGTCGCGCGGCGCTGCTTGCCGCCGCGCCGGCACCGACCATATAAATGCGCGGCGCCGGCGGGCGCGCTCAGTATGTGTCATGCTTCGCGATCGAGCGTGTTGTCCGTGATGGCGGCCCGAGTGCGGTTGAAGATGCGCTGCGGCACCGGCGTGTCGCCGCTCGCCGTTCTCCTCGCGATGTGCGCTGTATTGGGTCCTGCCAGTGGGATGTTCGAGCACCGACACTGCGATCACCAGCATCCACGGGCACACGAGGTAAGTGCCGCGCATTCACGAGCACCGCGGTGAACGATTCTAACCTCTTTCCTCGCTCCTTCGTTCCGCGCTTACATCGTTTACTCCTTGTTCTCCTTTCGCTGCTTACGCGCGTACACGCTGTACATTTTGTATCTCACGATCGTCTCTAATCTTCGTAGTAATATTTCTCGTCTACCGAGCATGTATTTCTCTATTTCCCATCTGCATCGAACGAGTTTTCACCTTCGTCGAAAGGAATCTGGTCGAGCGCGACAGATCAGGTTGCTGTTCCTCGCAGTAATACCCGTTGCATGCATTGACACGTGTTCGCTCCGTCTCTGTCTCTCTCACGTGTGGCGCGATAGTCGTTCTCCATGTGAATTGATTGCGATAACGACAGCTTTCAAATTTCATATTTTGACTTTTTCCTTCGTTAACGCAGTTTCTCGTGATACTTGAATGCTAAAATGATATAAATGGAGCGCAGCACTCCGTTACGAATTTATCACGGTTTGCGAACTCTTGCAGCTATGAATTTTATCGAGACATGGAATCGGTCGCTTGCGTTGACTCGCAGTGATTAAAGACGTGTGTATGTACATGTTTCACTTTCGCGCGACGTTTCAACGCGCCATTCATACGTTGCGCCGATAGAAGGAAGACTTCGTTGAATGTTTCCATGCGCGGCGACGAGAGGGGAGAAACACGTGTTTTCGGAACAGCACGTGCTGCTGCGGGATGTCTCGGCGCGTTGACCTTCCACGCGCGTCGCGTTTCACGGACAGCCGAGCTCGATGATGCATATGGTTTATAGGTTATAGCGTTATCGAGAGACGTTCATTCGAGTATCGTTCAAATTTCCGAGATATTTTAGAGCAAGCCTGTCGAATTTGAGCTCCGGAGCCAAAACTCGAAGCCATCGGCGTAAAAAATTCAATATGAGTAAGATTTTAGAAACTATAAACTGTTGATAAGTATCACTCTTAGATGCGTGTCAACACTTTACAATCTCCGAAATTTTATTTACATTGAATTTTTTTCAATGAATCGATGGCTCTGCGTTTTTTTTTTTGGCTCCAGAGCTTAGATTGGACAGGCCTGTTTAAGGGCGGTAGTCTGTTCTATTTTAAAACGATCTTAAGTAGACGGTCTTAAATATAAGATCCGATTATGAATATCAGCCTTCTGAGAATAATCAAATAATCAATATTTGGATTTTGTCAATATTTTCCATTACTTCTCCTATTTTCTGTTTAATCTCGCGTCACACATTGACAGCACACTCTAAAATGAAGCAGTAACTTTTTGGACCGAAATTTGGACCGTGTCTAGATAGCACACATGCCAAAATCTGAATATAAGACGTTTTAGGCTAGTATTCACAGTCCGTTATTTTTTAAGAGCTTTTTAACAGCAATATCTTAAGATATTAATGCGGCTCTCTGATTGATTCTTGATATCTTAAAACTGTATTTAAGTTTTAGGGTCTGAGCACAAAAATTGTAACATTTACAATTAGACTTGTAAATTATAGACATAAGCAACGCACATGCTTTGGCGTATGAGTCATATGATATGTGACTTATTGCCATGTCTAAGTATGTGTCATGATAATTCTTGTTCTCAGATCCTTAAAAATCGGCTATTAATATTAAAAACGTCTTAAGCTGTAATATGATTAAGACATTTAAGGCTTCGGTTGCATTAACGTTACTTTGACTTTAAGCGAGACTTAAAACTCTCCGCCTCATTTTAAAGTCGGAAAAAAGACACAGAGTTTTAAGCCTCGCTTAAAATCAAAGTAATGTTGGTGCAATCGGGCCTAAGACATCTTTAAGACGGTTATAATTGCTAGTTACAGTTGCTGGTTGATGATTCTATTTTAACTAATCATGATACAACGAGTATGGACTGGCTGCATTGTGATTTGTTAAAATAGAACCATCAACTGAGAATCACAATTGGCAACTCGCAGTCGTGATTATGGCTCACAATTTGTTATTTATTGGTTAACCTGTAGTTAGGCCGAAAATTATATTTTTCTATCTATGCTTAATCACTAAACTGATTTTGTATGTAACTTTTTAAAGTCACTATACACACATAAAATCGTTAGTTTCGTGGTTTATTAAATTAAAGTGTGAGGTCAAATACAAACTACAAGTTAATCAAATAATGAAAATCCAGATCTTAAAGATGTTTTGAAACGTCTTATGTCCTGATTTGGATACGCATGCTGTCAAGGCATTTTTTAAAAGGGCTAAAGTTATCCAAACTAAGTCAAAGTTAATTCATTTTACGATACGCGATGTGAGATTCACGTAATGTCGAGTAACATGTGAGATATTAACTCTTTGCAGTCACGTTTGAAATAATGTTTTACGACAGCCATCGCATGTTTCTTCAAGAATTTAAATGTAGACGATTATAATCGGCAAACTGTATATTTTTAAAACTATATGAACTATACTTCAAATAATAAAAATTCTTTAAGCCATGTTAAATAATAAAAAATGAAAGTGAAATATTTGGTCTTTCTTTATTTGTGAAAAATAATTTGAACTGTAAAAGGTTAATGTAGAGTTTAGAAAGATATTGATTTTATTTTTGAGCAACAGAGATTTGTTGCTTGCTATTTGAGGTAAAATCATTGTAGATATAAGCTAGTAACTTTAGAACAGAATATAGACGATTATAATCGGCAAATTATAATATATAATTTTTAAGTCACATTAGATAAATGAAAATGAGAATCAAATGCTTATTTGATCTTTGCTCATTTGTGGAAAATAATTGGACTATAAAGAATTAATACATGATTAATACATGATACGTTAATTTTATTTACAAATAACAAAGATTTGTTGTTTGCTATTTCGAGTATGAAAAATTGCAAATAAGATAATAATTTTATATAACAATGTATTTAAAGAATATATCTCTATCATTTTATTGCCATTGTGTACCAATTGCCTGCATTGTCATTTCGAGGAAAATGGAATAGTATATTTGGATGACATATATTGCAATGTAATGATTTAACTTCCTATTAAATACTTCAATGTACGCTATACTTTGAGGATCATTTACGCTCCACCGTTACGGATATCGTTTATCTCATTAAATCTCTGCCATTTGCCATAATATCCGTTCTTTAGAATGCATTGCATAATATTGCATAGAACGAACTTCGTTGATACTTGATGCTTAATGAATAATTCATAATTATTGTAATAATCATATCATCGATGAATATTAATTATATTAGTTGCAAATATTAATTGTGGACCATGTCGCAAATGTTCATTGATCTATAGAGTATTTCATTATTTGATGCCATTTTACTATTATTGAGCAAACTTGTTAAAGCAAAAATAGTTCCGGTAATTAGCGTTTATAAATGAGAAGCCTTTTCTGCTTTCTAACTCAGCTATAAAATTAAACCTTTTAATTAATTTTGTAATATACTCATTTTAACAGATTGATTAGAAGGTTATACAACAGTTATACAACAGTTTTAAAATTGAAAATTTACGAGGTAATGCTTATGAAGCTTTAGTAAAAGAAAAATTGATTTTGCTTTGATCAAAGAGTCTATGTATGAAAGAACGGCGAGATTGATGAGATATGCCATATCGCGTATGGCTTGTATCGTTTATTGGGCACTGTAAAAGTTTTGCGTAAATTTTAATTTCGTCCTTTGAAAGGACGGACTATTTTTCGCATGACAGAAAACAATCGACAGATACGACACAAGTTTTAAAATCGTGATAGGCAGACAAAAGCCGGCCATCCGTTTCCTTTTCCATCTCGTCCCCTTTTTAGCCCGAAAAAAATAGACTCAATTATCAGGATTGGAACGATGCACGAATGATTCTCTATTCGCAGAATGAACTTGATTGACTTTTCACTCGGTCAGTTTTGACAATTTTCGTTTGCGAAAGTCGACATAAAAATGTCTAGAAATAAAAATGCAACATTTCTCAATTTGCAAGATTTTCTTTCAATAAGGAAAAACAAATAGGTTTTTTTATAATTAACACACATATGTATCATAGTATCAAGCTTTTATAAAAACTGAATTTATAATGCATTGTAAAATTTAATGATTTTTTAAATCTTATTTTATTTATCTTAATCTTTTTTATTAATCTGCAGTGCAAGAGAGCATTTTTGTGCCATTTTAAAAAAATACAAATCCAGGTCAAAAATATATTTTTCTCCAGGGATCCGTTTATTTTCTTGTGCTAAAAAATGGTTTTCCATTTTGACACGAAATTGAGTGAAAAACTAGAATATTTCGATGGCATAGTATTGTGCCCATGGGCGCAACTTCAGGGTCTAACGACTCTATTGTTAACATGTACAGTATGTGAGTTTAGATCATTCAAAACAAAAATAAAAAAATATTAACATGCAATATTTTGTTTGGAGAAAATGAAAAGTAAACGTATTCTATATCACACAGCGTGCGTTAAAAACATGTACATGTCGAAAAACAATGCGCGCGACTATACATAAATGTATTTTATGTCATTATTACTTTCTAAATTTTCATAATAATTAATGAACAATTTTCAAATAATTTTCAATAAGTTAACAAATTTTTTCTCAGTTTACAGTTAGGATTTATATTTATAGCTTAACTTCGTACTACAGAGAACTAGTTTCTAACGTTTCGCGAATGGTCGAAGTGCTCGGTGGCGGTTTTATATGTGAGTGTATTCGTTTTAAGGACCGTTTCAGTGAAAGAGAATTTGCATGCGAATGTAAAAGTTTACAGTTGTCCCACTCGTGCTTATAGCACTTCGTACGAGCATTCGGAGAATTTTTCTGTTTGGCGATTCCACCGTCATCACGTACCAATTTTGCGCTCTCGTAAAGACATAACTCATTCGTACACTCACCCTTTATTCCGTATAACGTCTGATCAATAAAAGAGACATATGGAATTATGTGAATTGTGTATCCGTTGCTGGTATCTAGCCAACTGTTTACGGACTACCCTTTTCTACTAA